CGTAAAAAAGAAAAAAAAAAAAAAAGAAAAGAAAAACCTCCTTTAAAAAATTACATTGGCAGTGGACTGAGAGGGATTAGTGCCCAAGCCCCAAGGAGCTTTAGCAACTCTGATTGGTCCAAGGAATTGAAAAGATATCGGAAGGATAGAACAGGAGGAAGAAGAATGAGAATTTACTGAGGGAGAGGGCCCCAAAGTGGGCCACGAGGGGAACTGGAGGTCGGGGTGTGGGTCTGGGTGGGGGTAGGGGCCCCCGTTGGTGAACAATGGAGGATCAGGGTATCCATGAGGTGGCATCAGTGGAGGAGGCCCACACATACCATGTGGAGGCATAGGACATGGGTGACCCATCGGAGAGCCAAACGGAGGTCCTGGGGGGGGGGATCCCCCTGGGGGGGGGCCGGGGGGGGGTATGCCCATTGTAGGAGGTCCAGGACGAGGCATTCCAGGTGGTGGTCGGGGTAGGGGTTGCTCCCCAGAGCCTGGAGGTCAAGCATTTGTGTGTCCTAAGCCATGAGGGCCATGGTGGGCCAGCTGCATCTGAGACATTCCTGGATGGGGCATCCCACCTGGTGGGAATGGGTGAGGATGAGAATGTCCATGACCAGGAGGTCCAGCCCCTGGGGTTCCTGCTGATGGAAGGTCATGTCCTCCAGTTCCAGGTGGCATAGGTGGTGGGGGCATGGCCGGAGGTGTCCCCCGGTGGGAGGGCTCCAGGAGGTGGCACGGAGGTGGGAAGAAGCCAGGAGGAGGCATGCCTGGTGGAGGACGCCCAGATCCCAGTGATGACACCACAGGATTGGGGGCAGAAGGTGTCATCTTTTATTCACCAAGTCTTTATCTTCCTCAGGACAATTTGGGCAAGAGTTAGTAGAGTATAGCTTTATGGATTTAACTAGAGAAAGGGGAGAGCCTGTCTTGACTGTGGTTAGCCACATAACATGGTAGTTACAAGGGTAAACTGTGAGAGTCACACTGGGTGGGGGTAGGGGACTGTTGAAGTCCTCCTGACTGAGGTCAGTAGGTTTTTTTTTTTTTTTTGACTTTGGGCTAATTATTTAAACTTAGTTGTCTTATTTGTAAAATGAGGCTAATGATATTGTCACATAGCTCTTAGAGCAAAGCCCTTCACTATAACCCCTAAATAAATATTCGCTTTAAAAAATTATTAGCAAATCTGTAGCCACATGAGCTAACAGTTCTTGGAAAAACCCAAGTTCTGGCTGCATAATTTAAAACATTAAAATTAATTTAAAAGTAAATAAAAATGCTGAATAAGGAAAAAAATTACAACAAAACCAACTCAACTTCACCTCTTAATTTTACAGTGCTGATCCACAGTTAGAGTGGCTTCTGCCTGTCAGGACTTGCTCCAGGTAACAGGCCCAGGTGACAGCAACTGAAGCAGAGATGGGAGAAGGAAGAGCATAGGAAAGGGGCTGACTTCAAGATTTAAAAAACACCCTTCTGGCTTTTGGTGCCCCTCTCTTCAGCAGCATCAGCTCTCAATCTCTAGGCAGAGTGTAGCCTTGCATGCTGCTCTAGAGGTTAACTCACTTGCTGGTTCATTACTGCCCTCAGTGAATGGTTAAAACCTTCCCATCACTGTTTGAATCTCTCCTTGTGTTATTTTCCAAGAATAGGGGTAGATCTGGGAGGCTTGTGGTGATATTTCTTTCTCTACCAGTGGTACTTTGCTATTTTCCCCATAGGCCTCTTTCCTAAGAGAGGAATGGCAACCAAGAACTCCTCTGTGACAGAGTTCATCCTCGCAGGCTTAACAGACCAGCCAGGCCTCCGGATCCCCCTCTTCTTTCTGTTTCTAGGTTTCTACATGGTCACTGTGATGGGAAACTTGGGCTTGATAATGCTGATTGGGCTGAACTCACACCTGCATACCCCCATGTACTTCTTCCTCTTCAATCTCTCCTTAATAGATTTCTGTTACTCCACCACCATTACCCCCAAAATGCTGATGAGTTTTATCTTAAAGAAAAACATCATCTTGCACTCTGGGTGCATGACTCAACTCTTTTTCTTCTGCTTCTTCGTTGTCTCGGAGTCCTTTATTCTGTCAGCTATGGCGTATGACCGCTACGTTGCCATTTGTAACCCCCTGGTGTACATGGTTACCATGTCTCCACAGGTGTGTTTTCTTCTCTTGTTGGGTGTCTATGGGATGGGATTTGCTGGGGCCATGGCCCATACAGGAAGCATAATGAGTTTGACCTTCTGTGCTGACAACCTTGTCAATCATTTCATGTGTGACATTCTTCCACTCCTTGAGCTCTCCTGCAATAGCACCTATGTGAATGAGTTGGTGGTCTTTATTGTTGTGGCCATTGACATTGGAATGCCCATTGTCACCATCTTCATTTCTTATGCCCTCATCCTCTCTAGCATCCTTCACATTCGTTCCACAGATGGCAGATCCAAAGCCTTCAGCACCTGCAGCTCCCACATGATTGTGGTTTGTCTTTTCTTTGGTTCTGGGGCTTTTATGTATCTCAAACCACCTTCCATTTTGCCCCTTGATCAAGGGAAAGTGTCCTCTCTGTTTTACACTATTGTGGTGCCCATGTTAAACCCATTAATCTATAGCTTGAGAAATAAGGATGTCAAAATTGCCCTGAGGAAAACCTGGGACAAAAAAATATTTTCTTAAGAAACGAACAGTATTTAAACAAGAAGATACAATGCTATGTTAATCATGTTTTTAATGAGGGATTTAAATTTTAGTGTTTCCCCCCTCTCTTACTGAAACAGAATTTTAAATCTTTGAGTGAGTGCTTAGTGCAGATCTAGTCTGTCTTATGCTTGCTCCATTTCAACTATTCCAAGATTTCTTTATGTAAATTTCTGCCATCATATGTAACTTAATCTTGAATGTGCCTTATAAATAATTTATTATAGTCTCCTTGCTTAACAGATATTAGAGACTCAGAAATACATTATTACTCATGGACACAAAATTACCTGGTCTCACAACTGGAACAACTCCTTGCTTTGTTCCTGCCCATGCAGGTTTCCCTTTAAAAGTATAATATATTACAGTCTGATTCTATTCACAATATAACTTCTCAATAAGTAATTTTTTAATGTTATATATTTTTGAGGGCAAAAGATGAAAAATTTTGTTTTTCTTGGCCAAACAATGAACGGAATGTATTAAAATTGTGTTATGTGGTTGGCATTAAGATTGAGGTTGCACCTGGGCTGGGTGGCATATCCATAGGATCCCAGCAATTTGCATGCTGAGGAGGATAATGAGTTCAAAGCCAGCCTTAGTAATTTAGCAAGTCTTTAAGAAACTCAGCAAGACTCTTTCTCAAAATAAAAAATAAAAGGGCTGGGATGTGACTCAGTGGTTAAGTGCACTTGGGTTCAGTCCCTGCTACAAAAAAAAAAAAAAAAAAAAAAAAAAAAACTCAGTAATCAATTAAAATTTCAAACTGAAAACAGACACTTAGACAAAGTCTGGGTTGCTTGATCCAATTATCTTTTCTATGATGGTTTTACCCAGTAAAAACAAATATTAATTTTAGAAAATATTGCATATTAGTGCCAGTTGCCCTTTCCCTTTGCTTAGTGAGGTAATTTATATTTGCTGTAATGTGCAAAGCTAGAGAGATTTCCTGTTTTTATTCTAGGCTAATTCTGATTACAGTGGTCAAGGGGTTGATTTCACAAGCAGACTCCTTCGCACAGATGTGTGGAAACAGATGGTGGGATAGATTTTGAGGCAGCCCTGAGCTTGATCAGAGGAGCAGGAAGAACCTAAGAATAACCATCTAGGAGTCCTTGGAGGCAACTCCTTTATCTGCTTATCTGTCCTTCTGATTTTTTTTCAACTATCCTCCTCCCATGCCCATTTTCTGGGTTGGAACATGGTGGACCACATAGTAAAGAGTTTGATTGGGGTAGCACTGCTTTTTGCCCCAGGTCATCCAAATATTCTGACTCAGGCTTCTGATCGGTCTCTGCTTCCCTTTCCTTTGGGCATCAGAAAGTGTGCACTTAGGACAACTAATATCTGTAGAAGTTTTTCTGAAACAGAAGTGATGTAAGTCTTGAAAGAGAGCCTCTGACTGTCCATTGACATCTTCCTGGAAGGGTTGGAAGGGGAAGTAGCGCTCATATCCATCTTGTGGTTGCAATAGCAGCCATGGGGAGATTGAAGAACCATCCCAGAGAAGTGTCATAAGCTAGCAGCAAAGCCAGGGGAGGAACCCCAATTCTCACATGGTCCCCATTCTCTTTGATAGAGATTGTGGATTTGCTGGGTTTATTTGCTTGTTTATGATTATATGGAAAGGGAAGTTAAGAAAGAAGGAAAAGGAAGTGATGATGACGGAATGCAGACATTGTCAGGAACTTCACATAGATCGTGATGCAGGCAGTATCCTGGAGGTGAGGAGAAAAGTGGTCTCAGAGAAGATAAATGACTTGCCTACAGCAGGGCCTGATTGAGACCTTTACAGGCCACCCATATACAATTCAGAATACTTTAAATTTCGCATATAGCACAAAACTTATATGTTGAAATTAAAGTAGCTTCTCTTTAGAATTTGTTTTAATTATAAAATTTTAGAAATGCTGTTCAAAATTGCCTGCTATTTTGGTGTCCTAAACATATGTAATCTGTCTTTTGGGTAAACCAAGCCAGCCCCCAATTAAGAAATCTACTCAATGAAGGATTCACACTTGGAGCTATCTTACTTAAAAATCTACGGGAAGAATTGTATAAGGTGTTGAGAATCTCTGTTGCACTACCAATTCAGCAGAGAATTCCTGGCCAACTATCAAGGTCATAAGTAATAGGGGGAGGTTTCAGCTATACATCTGACTTGGTGATGGTGGTGGTGGTGGGGGCTATAGCTATAAGCTTTGCCCTTTGGTTGGAATAAGGGAGGGATGGAAAATCCAGGTTCAGCCCCTGAGGTTGGGTCCCTGTAATGGCATATGAGAGCATTTTCTTTGTGACAAAAAAGAAGCCAGAATGAAGACCATATGATTCATTTAATGAAATTATAAAAGAGGAAAAACTACTTTCAGTGAAACAATCTGGCTTGTATTGTCTTGAAGGTGAAAATTATTGGGATGGAAAAGAAGAAAGTTTCTGGAGTGGTAGAAATGTTAAGAGATATATCTATTTTTCAGTACTGTGCAGCTAAGAATTGTAAGTTTTGATGTACATGAATTTCATCTAAAAAAAACCTTTAATCACCATCATTGAGAATAGAGAATTAGTGAGGAATAAATTAGATAAGATCGACAGAATGCTGGCAATTGTTGAAATGGTGGGATGGTGGGGTATTATGTGAATTTATTTTACTCTTGTTTTCATAGTTGGAAATGTTCCATAGTCCAATGTTAAAACAAAATTAATTTAAAATGGATCATTGAATGAAACATTAAAGCAAACCTAATACAGTTCTAGAATACATAGAAGAAAACTATATTAATAACTCTGGGCTAGGCAAAGAATTTTAGCACAAAATGCCACTGACCAAAGTATAAATTGGACTTTATAAAAATGTAGAATTCTATTCCTTGAAATGTACTACTAAGAAATTGAAAAGCAGGCCAATTATTGGATGAAAATATTTTTGTTATATATTTAACAAAAGACTTATATCCAGATGCAATAATGAGAAAATATAATAGCTAAATAAGCAATGTATCGTCAACTAAGAAGATATATGAATGTTCAGTAAGAATATGAAAATAGTATAAAAGTCATTAATAATCATGGAATTATAAATAATGTATCATACTATTATATATACAAAAGAATGGCTAAATTAAAAATGTTCACAATATGAAGTGTTGATGAGCACTTAGAATTCTCATTTATTGCTGTTGAACATATAAAATGGCAATACCATTTTGGAAAACCCTTTGGAAGATTTTTACAAAATTAAAATCACATGTATTGTATGATGTAGAAAATCCACTCTTAGATATTTACCAAAGTGAAATGAAACTATGTATCTACAAAAGACTTATGTATGGATACTCACAGAAGCTTTATTTATTTCAGTTCTAAATTGGAAACAATCCCAATTTCCCTCAACTGGTAAGTGAGTAAACAAATTGTGGTGTATGATTGAATACCACTCAGCAATAAAAAGGAATTAACTACTGATATACATATGAATTAATTTCAACATTAGTAAATCTCAAAACTTTATGCTCAGTGAAAGGAAAATGACTCAAAAGTATATAAGCTGAATAACATTTTTTATAAAATTTGAAAATAGACAAAATAAGCATAGTGAGAGAAAGCAGGCAGTAATTTTCCAAGATCAAGGGTGGGAATCATTCATTATGTTAGGAATTTTTTGGGTTATGAAAATATCTTATATATTGATTGAGTGGTTGTTACATGGATATATATGTTGTCCAAAATTATTTGACTAAACACATAGATTAGGTTCTTTTTGTTGTATTTCAGTTATACCTCATAAGGTAGATTTAAATGTCCATAGACAACATATAAATATCCAAGGCCAACAAACATAAAATAAATTGCTGAATCACATACAAAAACATGTTAAAAAGATAGTGCACCATGATCAAGTGGGGTTCATCCCTGGGATGCAAGGTTGGTTCAAAAAGGAAATCAATAAATGCAATTGACCACATCAATAAGACAAGAATCACATCTCAATAGATGCAGAAAAAGCATTTGACAAAATTCAGCATCCATTCCTGTTCAAAACAGTAGAAAAACCAGGAACATACCTCAACACTGTAAAAGCTGCTAAACCCAAGGCCAACCTCATTCTAAATGAAGGAAAACCTCAAAGCATTACCTCTAAAAACTGAAACAAGACAGGGATGGATGCCCTCTTTCACCACTTCTATTCAACATCGTCCTCAAAACCCTAGCCAGAGTAATCAGACAAATGAAAGAATTTAAAGGTATACAAATAGGAAAAGAATAGCTCAAACTGTCTTTATTTGCCAATGACATGATTCTATATTTAGAAGATCCAAAAAACTACTAGAAAGTTCCTAGAACTCATAAACGAATTCAGCAAAGTATCAGGGCTTAAAATAAATATCAATAAATCAGTTGCATTTCTATACACCAAGGATATATTACCAGAAAGCGAAATCAGGAAAACTGTTCCTTTTATAGTAGCCTCAAAAAAATATTTGGGCATCAACCTAACAAAAGAGATAAAAGACATCTATAATGGAAACTACAGAATGTTAAAGAAAGAAATTAAAGAAGACATTAGAAAATGAAAAGATCTCCCATGTTCCTGGATAGGCAGAATAAATATTATCAAAATGGCCATACTACCAAAAGTGCTATACAGATTTAATGCAATTCCTATTAAGATCCCAAAGAAATTCTTCACAGAAATAGAAAAAGCCAACATGAAATTCATTTGGAAAAATAAGAGACCCAGAATAGCTAAAGCAATCCTAGAGTGAAAAGTGATGTGGGAGGCATTACAATACCAGAACTTAAATTATACTACAGAGCTATAGTAACAAAAACAGCATGGTATTGGCACCAAAACTGACATGAAGCCCAGAGGAACAGAATAGAAAACACAGAGACATATCCACATAAATACAGTTATCCTAGACAAAGTTGCCATAAATGTACACTGGAGAAAAGATAGCATCTTCTCAACAAATGGTGCTGGGAAAACTGGAAATCAGAAAGTAATAGAATGAAATTGAACCCATATATCTCACCCTGCATGAAACTCTACTCTAAGTGGACTAAAGACCTAGACATTAGACCGGAGACCTCACACTTACTAGAAGAAAAAGTAGGCCCAACTCTCCAACATGTCAGCTTGAGAACCAAATTCCTCAATAAGACACCTAAACCCCAATAAGTAAAATCAAGAATCAATAAATGGGATGGTATCAAACCAAAAAGATTCTTTACAACAAAGGAAACGATTAAGAACATGTACAAAGATCCTACAGACTGGGATATAATCTTCATTACCAGTACCTCAAATAAGGCATTAATTTCCAGGATACACAAAGAACTCAAAAAATTCAACACCAGAAAAATAAATAACCCAATCAATAAATGGGCAAAGGGATTGAAGAAACACTTAACAGAAGAAAAAAATATAAATTGTCAAAAAATATATGAAAGAATGTTCACATCTCTACCAATTAGAGAAATGCAAAATAAAACTACACTGAGATTTCATCACACTCATCAGATTGACAGTTATAAAGAATACAAATAACAATTAATGTTGGCGAGGATGTGGGGAGAAAGATACTCTCATACATTGTTAGTGGGACTGCAAATTGGTGCAACCACTCTGTAAAGCAGTATGGAGAGAAGCATAGAGACCTGTTATCCCATTCCTTGGTCTATACCCAAAGGACTTAAAACCAGCCTATTTCAGTGATGCAGCCACATCAATGTTTATAGCAGCTCAACTCATATAATATCCAAGCTATGAAAACAACCTAGGTGTCCTTCAATGGATGAATGGATAAAGAACGTGGTATGTATACATAATGGAATATTACTCAGCCATAAAAAAGAATGAAATTATGGCATATGCCAGTAAATAGATAGAACTGGAATATATGCTAAGTGAAATAAATCAATTCCAAAAAACCAAAGGATGAATGGTTTCTCTGATTTGTGGATGCTAACCCAGAAAAAGGGAGGTTGGGGATGGGACTAATAGAAATCCATTGGACTAGACAAAGGGAAATGAAGGGAAGAGAGGAGGGAGGGGAATAGAAAAGACAGAATCAATTGGACATTACTTTCCTAGCCCTGGGGGCTGGGGATATAGCTCAGTTGGTAGAGTGCTTGCCTTGCATGCACAAGGCCCTGGGTTCAATCCCCAGCATCACCAAAAAAAAAAAAAAGAAAAGAAAAATAAAAAAAAACTTTCCTAGCCCTGTATTTGTATACATAACCAGGGTAACTCTACATCATGTATGACCATAAGAGTAGGAACCTAAATAGAATAAGTTATAATTTATGCATGTATATTTTACCAAAATACGTTCTACTATCACATATAACTAAAAATAAAAAATAAAAATGTTAAAAATAAATTGCTGAAGCTCAACTTAATTTGTAATCACATAAATATGAATTAAATAATGTGGTGATATTATTAGCATCAAATTGGCTCTATTTGTTGGGAAATTAAAATAACATGGGAAAAAGACATTTTCATATTTTGCTGATAGGAGTGTAGTTAGTTGAAAAATGCCTTTTGTAAGAAGCTTTTGGAAATATTCACAAAAAAGTACATCATTAGACATATCAAATTTTTTTAGATCAAGCTAGGAATTTATTCTCAAAATAAGTAAAATAAGTCAGGAAGAGAGGAACAAATACTACATGATCTAATTCATATGTGGAATCTGAAAATGTTGACCTTATAGAAGGA